AATCCAACATTTTACTTAAATTTGACCTTCTCTTACTTACGATTTCAGTGTGACTTATCTTCCCTCCTTAACTACTTCTTTACTCTGTACACATTTATTCTATAACACTGCTTCCTTTACTCCCTTATTCAGCTCACTCATCTGGGTACTTCTCTCTNCTCTACTCTAGTCCATACCTTTCACCCCCAAACGATAAATAAGTTTGTCTCCACTATGCTCTGACCCCCAGCTATAAAGAATATAAACCTGTCTAACGGGAGGGGAACAATTATTCAACAGATAAACGATAAATATACAGATAGACAGATAGACAGATATACAGATAGACAGAAAGACAGAAGGACAGATAAACAGATAGACAGATAGACAGATAGACAGATAGACAGATAGACATATAAAAAGATAGACAGATATACAGATATACAGATAGACAGAAAGACAGAAGGACAGATAAACAGATAGACAGATAGACAGATAGACAGATAGACAGATAGACAGATAGACAGATAGACAGGTAGACAGATAGACAGATAGACAGATAGACAGACAAAAAGATAGACAAAAAAGAGTGGAGGAGGAAGGAAAGAGGACTGAATAAGGGGGGAGTGAGATGGGGTGGGGGAAGTAAAGGGGAGGAGGGGAGAGGAAGAAAGATTGAGGATCTGGAGGGGGAAAAAGAAGGAGTAGGGAGGGGAAGAAGACAGAGTGGGTAGAAGGAAAGAGGAGGATGGAGGTGGGGAAGGTCAATTTTTCAAGACAATGAATAAATATTCTGAAGTATGCAGTAATTGTCAAGTAGAGTATCTAGGGAATCTTATTTCTTAAGATTACTATCTATCTATCTATCTATCTATATATCTATCTATCTATCTATCTATATCTAGCTCTAAAAATTACTATCTCTTCCTAATACTTTCCCCAACCTTTTGGACGAAACACCTCCAATTGTATGATTTATAAATTATATCATACAAAAACATCCGGGTTTGCCTTTAAAGACGGCCAATGTTGGCTTGGCAAATCCCGTCATTAAAGTGTTACTTTAAAATATATCCATATAAATTATATACTTTAATGATAAATATATATAACTAGCAATTTATCTTTCTATATATATATATATATAACTATTGTAGCAGGAAAATGATGTTTTGATCTTTCCTGCGACTGTAAATAGCATTTTGTTTATCATTATTTTTACCCTTCGTTCGCACTCAACCCCATTTTGCTTTCCCCCCCCTTACCCTTACTGATATTTAACGGGTTTTCTTGTTTATGTTTGGTTTCTATATTTAACCCAAGCCACGCGGAGAAATCCGTTATCTCCGAACCCGGGAGCTGGGGAGCTGGCCGGCCAGCTCACAGGGCGTGGGGTAGAATGCGAACTAAGGGTGGAGCGAAATAGAGGGAAAAAAGGCAGTTGTGATTCAGCTCCCTTGAATTAAGGTTCCCTTGAAGAATTCCCCTATTTGATGAAACTGATTTGATTAACAATATTTAGTTTGTATAAGTGAGACGATGAAAATGAAAATGTAAAATGTCTCCTGTTTGAT